GCGGCTCATCTCCCCCCGTCGCCGTCCTCGTCGTCTTCAGGCTCCTCGTCGTCCTCATCATACCCCTCTTCCAACACCTCCTCCTCAAACTCCGCCAAAGCCTAAGACATGACAGTCGGCATGTTAATAGGAAGCGTGCATTAGAAGAAGACAGGGCAGGGCGTGAGGGAAGGCCATGCGAAACACATCTAAGCGATGAACCCCCAGCCCTGTGTCCGAGGGCGGGGGACACCGTTCTTCTCCGCTACCGTTGCATGCAGGTTACCCGATGTCAAATATTCCTTACCACGCAGACGGAAGGCAGCCACGTCGGAATTGAAACGCGGGAATATTCCTCAATCCCCCAGCTTTTGTGGTAACACAGAGCGCAATAACATTTTAGCAATGCCACACCCTGCCACCACGCGCTCGACTCCTTGACTAATCCTTAGTTTTCAATTTCGGGGGTTTGGAAGTCATCTTTCCTCTCATGAACGACATCCATCCACCACACCATAGTCTCTCACCGCTTGGGCCAACGACATGCCGGGGTGATTCTGGCGCAAGGCCTCCAACGCCGGCGGTGCGGTCTTATGTCCCATCATGAAATTGCCAGTGCCAGTGCCGGTGCCTGTGCCGCCATCTCGCGCCAGGGGCGACCGACGTTCTGGCGACAGGTGGCCCTGAGGCGCATGGCTGGCAGCCGCCGGCGACTGTGAGGCCGCCGGCGCCAGGTAGTCCTTCGCGGGCCCTATGCCGTCCCGCGTCGCAATCAGGGAGGACACGTCAATCGAAGCAGACCGCTTGTGGCGATTGGACGACGGCGGCGCTGACATGGGCCCTGGAGGAGCCCCTGGCCCTGCCACAGCCGCAAGACTCCCCTGAAGTGGCCACCCACGGTTTAGATAAAAGGGTTAGATAGGGTCAAATAGGACGGGTGAGCTACATGAAGCACGGCGGCTTCTGTGCAACGAAGGCAGCTTCAGCGGGGAACGCGGACGCCGAACGGACAAAAAACGGTATTAATTGCGCTCCTGTCGGCGCTACGGAACCCCTGGCGGGGCGCTGAACGGTACAGTTCACACGCGGCCGCTGAACAGCGGGAAGACGATTTCAGCATCAGACCTACCCGCCTGCGCCCTAACGAATGCCGTGAATGCGAAATTACCACTTCTTGTAACGTAGGTCAAACAAGTGGTCAGACCCGAAGAAACCCATCCGAACAACCTGCTGTCTATCTGACGTGCTGTTCGAGCCCGACGCCGCCTCGGCCCATAGGTTCGCGTGCCCTCCCGCCGTGAAGCCATGGGCTGACAGAGACACAGACACTCCTCCAGTTGCTGTGGGCCCCATGCAAGTGCTGTGGGCGTGGGAAAGCATCGCATGCTGCTGTTGCTGCTGCTGTTGCTGCTGCTGCGACGCCGTGTGTACGAACGCGGCCTGCCCACCGCTACCCGCCCCGTGACTGACGGCTGCGTTACGGAAGAGTGCGGCAGCCTGCGGTGCAACACTGCCTGGATGTGGCGGCAAGCTGCCAGCGCCGCCGCCAACACCGGCCATAGCGACAGCTGAGATTTGTTGTTGTTGATGTTGCTGCTGCTGCTGCTGCTGCTGCTGCTGCGCCGGCGGCGACAGCTGCTGCTGCAGGGTCGAGGGTGGGGCCGGCTGAGGCTGCGGAGGCGGCGCTAGCATGGTGGGATGCTGTGCAGAGTAGGCGTGGGTGTTTGTCGGCGACATGCCGGCAGCCGCAAGAGCGGCGGGGGCCAGCCCCGTCACTTGAGTGAATAGCGCCACTTGCTGTCTTAAGAGCTCCAACTCCCTTTGGAGCTGCAAATTCTGCTGCAACAAGTCAGAGGTTGGGTCGGCGGCAATCCGCTGCAGCGGCGCCGGTGGCGGCGGCGCGGTGGCTGCGGCACCGCCGCCATACAACACAAACGGTGTTGCACGTGCGTCCACGGCAGCACCGCCGCCGACACCCCCGCTGTTACCGCGTTGGCTGACGCCGTCACCGTCCCTCGAGTTTACGTCAATGCTGTCGTACGACGCATGGCGGGAATGTCCACGCGAACCTCGTGAGCCGCCCGAATGCAAGCCTGGCCCAACGGGCATGTTCACAGCAGCAGCATGGGGCCCAGCGACGGCGACGGCGGCGTTGGCGACCGCTGCCGCTGCACCGTCGGAGTGCATGCCGTACGCACGCATGGCACCGTGACCGCTTGCAACTCCCCCAACTGCTATTGGCAGCGGTGGAGCCCACATGGAAGCGCTGCTCTCCCTGCTGCGTCCCGTGCTGTTGCCAGGACCGGAAGGGCCGGGCCCGGGGCCGCCAGCCGCCATCGCCGCTACCTGCGCCCTGGCCATAGGCTCCTGAGTCGTCAGAATCGGCCCTAGGGAGGTATGCCACGCTTGTGGCTGTTGGGGCTGCTGCTGCGGCGGCAAAGTGCTAGCTTGCAAAGTTGTGAGCTGCTGGTGTTGAGGCTGGAGTGGATGTTGATGCTGCTGGAGTTGGTACTGGTGTTGATATTGGGGCTGGTGTTGAGGTTGGGGCTGGTACTGCTGCTGCGGGGGCGACATTGTGTGGTGAGCGGCGAAAGGCAGCTGCTGCTGCTGTGGCGCCGGTGGTGAGATGGGCGGCAGCGCCTCAGAAATTGTGTAGGGCAGCTGCACACCATGAGGCATGCCTGCAAGCGAGGGAACCACCATAGACTTACGGCCGTCTCCGGTAGCGCCACCAGCAGCGAGCAGGGCATTCGAGTAAGGACAGACAGCAGAACCGCAGGGGTTTCCCCAAGATGCGCGATTCGTAAGAGAGGGACAAGCAAAGAAGAAAACCACGTCAGCGAAATAGCCGGCCCCGTTT